ATAACGCATAGGGAACGACGAACAAATAATACATAACGCATAAAAGGGACGATGAATAACGCATGCGAGCCTAAGGAACGGCCGAGCCCCTTTTGAAAAGCATGCGTTCCTTATTCAAGCCGCTCACTGTACCCCCCACGATTTCGGAGGGGGAGGGCGGGGTTCACTTCGCTCGGGAGCTCCCGAGCGAAGTGAACCCCACCCTCCCCCTCTGAAATCGTGCGGGGTAGGGGTAGGGTTCGCACGTGGCCCCCTAGAGGGGCGATGGAGGGCGGCGGGGGCGGAGCGGACGCGGCGAACAAAGGAATGAAAAAGGCGACGGCGAAGACGACGGAGCAAACTGCGACCGGGACAACGCGAAGTAAAAACATTCAGAAGCGATGACACGGAGGAGGAGGAGGAGGAGGAGGAGGAGGAGGAGGAGGAAGAGGAGCGAGGGCGACGAAGGGGACGAGGAACAGGTGGAGGAGCAAGACAAAGAACGCAAGGCCACGGGGATGGGGGAAAAGAGGGCGAACCGGACATGAAATGAGGGGAGGGGAAGGGTCGCGATGCCCCCGTCGGCACCCGCGCTCGGAGCCGCGCAGCCGCGGGCGCCCTCCCGAAGGGGCCGCTTGGTTTTCGCGCTGCGACTTGGGCGCCGCGGGGCAGGCACCCCTGAATCTCCTCGGAAAGCCCCGAAAGGCTCCTGCAGAGGCCCTCGACACCACTTCGCAGGAACCTGAGAGGCTCATGAGAGGACCCTGGAAAGCTCGCAAAACGGTCCCGAGGCTTGTCTGTGCGAGGCCCACTTCCCGACCAGGAGCTCTGAGAGCTTCCGAGATGATCTTGGGAGGCTCCTGAGAAGCTCCCAGGAGGCTCCTGAAATGCTGTTGAACAAGGCGGTCGAGGTTGGCCTTAAGCGCGCCTCATGTGGCCGAATCCCGCATCCGAATCCTGCCTGCGGCGGCCGCGCACCCGCTCCGAATCTCGCCCGTCGATGTTCCAAATGGGGCTCCAAATCGTGCCGAATCAGGGCTCCGAATATCGCCCGCCAACGTCCCGAATGGGGCTCCGAATCGCGCCGAAGAAAGGCTCCGAATCTTGCCTGTCGACGCCCCGAATGCTGCTCCGCACTGTGGAAAACAAGACAGAAGAGAATGCACCGAACATTCGTGAAGCTTCGGCGATGTGAAAAACTGCCATTTTGGGGGCATCTTTCAGCGGCCTCTTTCGGTGGCATCTCGGAGGGGCAGGCCCGGCGCGGGGGGGGGGGGCTGTGTGCCTGGGGACATACGGACCCCCGAGTCCGGGGCCCTCGACTGAGGGGCGCAGAACTTCGTTGCTTCTGGAGCCGAGGCCCACGGACTCCGCGGCAGCCCAGAGCGCGATCTCCCCTCGGGCAGACTGTCGAGCGGCCAACGGTACCCTGGGCCCCGGAGTCAGAGGCGGAGAGGATGGCCATGCACTGCGGCGAAGGGGCGGGACTCTCTGGGCAACCGCCGGGAGGGGCCACAACGACTTCTGGGCACCAGGAGCGAAGGTCGAGGAGGGCGCCTTTGGACGCAGCAGCAGGGGCCCGCGAAGGCCGTGGCACGGCCCTGGGGCCACGGGCCCACGACCCCTGGGTCGTTGAATGAGGAAGGCCCACCCTGGCCATCGCTCGGACGTCCATTCCCTGTGCTTTTTTCGGCTTCGTGCGTAGTTTTTTCGCAGGATGATCCACGATGCTCCTTAGTAATCCCCGCCGAGAAAAAGTGCACACGTCCGAGCGATACCAAGCACCACCCTCGGGCCCTCGAGCCACATGCACCCGTGCAGCCCCGCCCGGCGAGGTTCCGCTGGGGGCGTTCGGTCCGCGCGCGGATGGTTCACAGATGGCTCCCGGGATGGCCTGCCGAGAGAGCTCCGGGAGCCTCGGCTTCGGCCCCTGCGAACATCTCTCCAGGTGCACCCCAGAGGCAGGGTGGGGCAAGCACGAGGGCGCACGGGCCCCCACGACTGCACGGGGGGCCACAGGGGGCGAGGGCGAGCTCGACGCAGCGCGCCGGGGTCGGCTTTTGTGGGCGCGGGGCTCCGAGGCGCGCGCGCGGACGCGCTCTGGCAGGGGAGGCGGGCATACAGTCGGGGCGCTGACCTAAGGAACCCTAAATAAGGAACGAGGCCCCTTTTCTCCAGAAGTTGAATTTCGATTCCCCATGGAAAACCTCAGGAAAACAGAAGGCAAACTGTAGAACAATCAAGGAACACCGAGCCCCTCCCCAACGAAAAGGGTTCCTTCTGCAGGGCCCTGGCTGTACAACACATAGACTCGCACTCGCCTGGCAAAGCTGCCCCCCCCCAGAAAAAAAACAGCTCGGCGAACGGGTTCTCCACTCCCCACTCCAGCTTAAGAAGGTGCGAAGCAAACGCGCGCGCCATCGCATGAGCAAGTGCTGGGGACACATTCGCCCCGATGCGCGGGCGCTTAGGAAGATGCGAAGCAAACGCGCGCGCGCGCAATCGCACGAGCAAGTGCTGG